GATTGGCAAGGCACGTGCGTACGAGAAAACTTAAGAAATTTTTTTATGGATTTGAACATTTTGGGATCAAATACCATTGGTTGTCGTATATTTTTTAAGCAAACTTCACAAATATCGCAACGTGTATTACCGTGTGTGCTTTGCTTTGCAGTATCTTCTTTTTTTTTTAAAAAACAATCAATTTGACTTAAAGTCGCTTAACCGTAATAAAACTTTTATCTGTGTTAAAATAGAAATCTATCAAATAGTGAGCACTGTAATTCAATAAATTGAAAACAAATCTTATAGTTTTATAATTTCATATTGAACTGATCTATCCCGGTTTACACAAGGCTTGGGGTTGTAGGGTTTTTGATCTAATTTCCGTCCTACTAAGCGCAACCCGCGCTTTACCTCTCATTTCTGAGCGAGTTTAAACAAAGCAAGGAATATTTCTGTCAAAGATAACCTTTAAACTTATTCATCTTTCGATACGTACCGTTGGATTTGATAAAGAGTCACAAATCGTTGAGATATTGTGTAAAATCTAATACTGCTTCTTCATTCTAAATTCGTTCTACAAGTTTCAATTCCGTCCTAACGCATTGAAATGCCATTAGATTTTCTTCGTCCTACGGATAAACGTAGAAAAAAAGGACTCGCTAGGAGTGCTTCTTTTGTTTTGAGAACAATGAGCGTAAATATTCTAACAGGATTTATGTTGTAGCTAATGAACTAACGCATCGGAACAAACCTATTATTGATTTGTGCATGGTGAAATCATTGATATTATTGATCTTTTCTGATCGATAGAACGGAAATGGGCGATTACGATGAAGTAGCGCTCTACCCTATTTAAATTTGCAAAAATTGTGGCACCTTTTTGAAAATTGCATATCATATCCCAAGTAGCACATATCTGTCATTCAAAGTTGCAGCAACTTTATAGTGACTAAAATGAGTCTTATAGCAGTTATCTCAATTGGATTGTGACATGTTTGCTACCAGCGATACTGTTATATCAATACGTTACGTTGTTTATTCTTCATTTCACAAGAAGGCACTATCAGACAGAAAAATAACTCTTCAAAATGTTGACTTAAAGAAAGATTATTTCAAAGTCACAGTCTCCGACTCATTTGCATGAAATTTTGAAAACCCATTTGCCACCTCCAGAGTTATGTTCTAGTCTTTGCCCATTTTCGAAGGTAGTAAATTGCAATGCAAAAAAAATGTTTAAGGGTAGCTCAGAACATTTTAGAAAATCTTACACCCAATGTTCATGCATTGTGCGAGAATGCTAATCAGTTCCTTTGATTTGACAGTGAGCCTTGAAGAAGAAGCTGAACATGTGCAGCGATAAGATAAAGAATTTGAAATTATTACCGACTTCGATAATTTTTTACCGACCTTTCAACACCGAGCTCGGACACTTGCAGGAACCCAAAGGGCTGTCGGAATATTCCCTTGACAACGGCCAACTCGTTTACCTGAAGGAGTGCCTGGAATGAGCCTCGGTTGGCTCAGCAGGAACTGGTGAACTGTATGTAATTTCCTTTCGGTTGAAGGGACTCCTCAGAAACGTAGCGTAATAAATAGCTCGAATTTGATTAACTAGATGTAGCCTTGAGGCTAATTTGTTTTGGCTGTGCAGGAAAATAAAAATCGCAACGACAATTCAGTTCAAAACGATGGTTTATTGTTTCCGGTTTGGTATTCATATCAACAAAGACGCGCTGCGCTTTTTTTACTTTAAATGATCTTGATTTCTTAAATTTGTGTGTACATGTATGAATTATCAAGTGACACAGATACGTCTTTTCAATTTTAGTTCTTTTGAAATTTCAATTATTATAAATTACAGTTCCTTGTTTCATCAGGCCAGGATGGGTTTGTTTTAATTGGAAAACGGAAACTATTTAAAATTACTATTTAAAACTACAACTAACCTACAACTACTATATACACAAAATCTACTATATACAAATTGCTTATTAAAGCATGTTCTGATATACTACTTTTTGTGTGTGCAAATTTAGTCCTAATTTCGTTAATTCTTGAATATATTTTGGGAATGCCTGCCGCTTCACGTAAATTTGTTATTCTAGTGTCGAAAGGACGATCAAGTACCATTCTCAGTACTCTATTCTGAGCGACCTGAATTTTGTTCCTGTGAGTCTGTGCACATGATTCCCAAACCGGAGCTGCGTAGAGGTTCGCCCTTGAGAGGCGGGATCTGCGGCAAATCAGCGGATAAAGACATCTAACCAGGGCAGAACACTTGACTAGAGTTTTCTCTACATGCGAACGGAATAGGAGCTTTTTATCGAACAACATCCCGAGATAGGCACTTCGGCAGACCACTCAACCCTTGTGCCATCCATGATTACAGTACAAGAGGGAGCGGGTTTCAGTTTTGGCGATTGCCGATGGAGGAACATGATCGCTTGTGTTTTGGATTTGATTTTAATTTTCCACGCAGTGGCATAATCAGCAAAGGCGTTGAGGCATGGTTGAAGTTTGTTCGTTATTTCGCGAAGCATCCTACCTTTGACGGCTATTGCGGTATCATCTGCGAACAGGAAAAACACGCAACCGTCTCCGAGGGGAAGGAATGTAGGAAGTGTAGATGCTGTAAAGCAAGGGACCCAGCAGACTGCTTTGCGGGACTCCTGCTGGGATGAAAAATGTGTCTGAAAAACAACCATTCAACGATACCTTAAGCGACCTTTGTTGGAGGTAGTTACGGGTGCTTTTAACCTGATGTAATGGGAAGTTGAAGTAACAAAGCTTGTACGGAAGTCCGTCATGCCAAACATTGTCAAACGCCTTTTAAACGCTAGCAAGGCCATGGCTATGGACTTGAATACAGCTTTGTTACTTCAGATGTTATTCACGTACTAGCTGGTGATTGGTGGATCCCTTTCTGAACCCAAACTGGAGAATGTTATTTTCCTCGACAAACATAAGCAAACGATTGAGAATGAATTTCTCGAACAATTTGCTCAGCGCTGAAAGGAGGCTGGTTAGTCTGTAGCTTGAAGGCAATGTCGGATCCTTACCGGGTTTGCGGATTGGTATGATTTTTGCTACCTTCCAGACGCTTGGAAAGTAGTGCAGTTCCAAGCATCTGTTGAAGATAGTGGTTAGAAGAGACTGCACTTTCATGCTGAGTCTCTTCAAGATCAAGTTGAATATATCGTCAAACCTGGGAGCCTTCATGTTCTTGGTGCATTTCAGCGCTGAGCAAATCTGTTCTACTGTAATCATATCCGCCGGAGACACGACACAAGGGAAGGCATCTAGGTTTTGAACGCATTGCGCAACCTGCTCATCGAGCGGACTTTGGATAGTCGAGCCAAGCAAATGCGATGAAGCAACATGCTCGCCGATCGCATTTGCTTTCTCATGTGGGATGATTAAAAGCCGATCGTCATAATTTTCGACTCTGAGAGGTGAAAAGGGTTTGAGATGAGTTTTCAGGACCTTGGCTTCCAGAATGGTCTGGAGTGGTCTTCCAGATTCTGCACGCAAACCAAAAAATTATTACAATGAATGTTAGTTCACTATCATCCTCTGTTCATGAACATCGCAGCGAATGTTAGAAGTTGACCTTGCAGACGATGTAATGACTTTTAATCTTTTTTTTATTCCGTGTATGCTATTTTTTTATTCTGTGTATGCTTTCACCTACACAAGCAAGCATTCCTCTTGATTGTTATGTATAACATGGTAGAACAACGCACACACTTGCCTCGATTCTCTTCAGCGGAAAAGTAAATGAAGTCGAGTGTGCGAGGAAATGAGCGCTTCTTAATTGCTTTTAGCCTATCCGTATTCTGAAGCATGGATAGAGCAGTGGAGAAAGCACAGGTCTGATAATCGCAACGTTCGTGGTTCAAGTCTCCCAATCGGAACTATTTTTTTCGACATGATTCATTTCACTCACTAATACACTCCACATTTTGGATGATGAACTTACCGAGAACTTGGATCTGTTCGGGCTTATTGCGGAACTTACGTAGAGCACCGGTCATGTTGATGAAAAATTTCATCGGTTCATCTGCTGAGAATAGATCCGGATTGTTGTTCTGCATTTTTGGTTGTCTCCAGAGTCCAGGGGGGATAGAGAGGTTTGTCGCATAGCATAGCATAGCATAGCATAAGCGAATGTACAAATCGTGGGGGGCTATATAATGGTCAACCAATACATTTTGTAGAAAATATCGTGTGTTGCCGTGAAAAAACACTTGGGACTAGTGATTTTTCCAACACATTAAAATCTACAAATCAAGCATCGCATTGTACACCTGGCCACATCCTTACAATCGCAAGGGATAGGAAGGAAAATTAGTCCAACATCTACTTAAGAAGGTGCAGGGAGCTCATACTACCTTCATAGATGCCACGGGAGGGAACATTTGTGTTAGTAGAAAATGGAATCTATTTAGGAATCTCTATTCGGCAATATAAAATAAAGGTTATGTGAAAATGTAAACAAATTTAAATTAATACAAAAAGGATGATCTCACCAAAATAATCTGCTATAAGCCTGTCTTTCCATGTTTTCAAAGCTGTTTCATGCATCATAATTGCCAATAGTCTCCAGCAACCGTTTTCTTTTCACACCGAAGCATTGAGACCATTCATCACTCTTTCGCCTGCGCTACTGTATTGGAAGCAAACCGCAGGATTCACAGCAGAATGCGCAGACCCGCAGTATATCTGATCACCAACACCATCATAGAACGATTAGAAAACCCAACACCTCCGACGCAGGCATCGATCGCTTCACTATGCCACACATTTCTGGTCCGGGAGCACACCAGGGGGGATAGAGAGCTTTGTCCAGCAGAAATTCAGACGTTTCTTGAGGGCGAGCGGATCGCACCCATGAATTCGCTTGTCCATGAAAAGGTAGAAAGTACTCCGCCCTGAAAGCTGGGGCCTTATCCTTTCTTCGTCCTGATTGATCTTTGGTGGACACTTGTTTTCGGATGCTCTTGAAATCCTTGTTTAGTTCACTGCTTGTCGGATCCTTGATGAGCACCACCACAGTTGGCACATTTGAACGCCACAGCTTCATCCGCAGCACATTCGGAGGTGGCATGGTTTTGAGCGCAATTGCCACAGCGTGGCTTAAGGTTGCAGTTTCGGGTGCCGTATCCAAAGTTCAGACACCATTGGCACTGAGTCACATCGCGATGGCTGCCACGATATGGCTCCCAGCGGACAATGGAATTGATGCAGCGGATGGCTTTCAGCGCGATGAGCGTCACCGTTCTCTTCTGGAAGTGCACCAGGAAAAGGCAATCCGGATACGCCTTCACATTCTCATCCTTCCTTGTCATCCGATAGACGGCACTTGGGGCCAGCTTGTACCGGTCTCGGATTTTTGCTTCGATAAACTTCGAGTTGAAGTTTGGTAAGCTTTTTTCACCCGGAATGTCGTTGGCGAAGAATTACACCTTGGTAGTCCTCAGGTGGGCAACGACCAAGTCATATTCCGGTTTTGTACGGAGCATCACCTTGGTACCGACTCTACCCAACTTGTATTCGGCTTTGACGCCCAGTGACGCCAGATCTGCGATTAGCTCGTTAAGATGGGTATTTTTCACTACCACCGGAGGTAGCTTCACTTTTGCCGCGCTCATTTCGGCAGCGTTCTCGGTTTCGCAGTGATATCGTCGCGAAAAATCGTACCTGCGTTTTTTTTTCATCACAGCTGGCTGGATATTCCCATCCATAGAAAGAACAGCAAACCTGTTGAATGTAGGTACACCCGAGCTTCCTTCACCGGGGTTCTTGTCCTTCTCCGGGCTTCGCGAGCGATGTTTTCCTTTTCGGGGCACACACACCGCGAAAGATAGAACGCGAACACTATCACAACGAACTTTCCGAACAACTCGAGGGCACGAGCTAACACCGAACTGAACTGCTTGACGGTCAAGCAGAGAATCCGAAACGCGCTGTGCGCAAACTTAGCTTCTTCTAAGTTTTTACTTCTAGCTGCAGTGATGCTCTCCTGGAAAAGAACCAATTCCTTGCATTCGGTGCTTGGCGGTGTGTTGAGACATGTCCATTACTTTAAGCGAAAATCAAAGTTGTCTCTCGGGTGAGCAATGCGTGTTGTATGAACAAGGGCGTTAGTAGGTGAGGGACCGATGACGCACGGTCGTCTCCGGATTAGCAAAGGTGGGTTTTTCATGTGTGAAAGGTGTTCTACGGGTTTATCAACGTTCGCTTCGTGCGCGAACAAGACTTTTGTTTGGTTTTTGTTCGTTTATTATAAGATTGTTATCAAATTAATTTACAATTAAGTTTGATGTTTTATTTCTTCTCTTGAAACTGTGAATACTAGACTTCGATAAAAAAAATCCGCACTTGTCAAACAGATCTGTGCATTGAAAGTTTGTGAATCGAGCGAAGGTTTCAGTTATTTTTCAGAAAGTTTTGACGTAGGACTACGTCTTTGATTTCTATATGGGGGTACACTTTGTGAAAACCGAAAATGGAACATGTAACAAATTAAGAAAGATTTTGAACGTTAATAACTCAGCTGCCCCTGGTCTAATTTCAATAATTTTTATCACCAATCGATCAGAAATATGGCTACGCATCGATATCAATGCTTTCGAATGTTGGTTTTCAACTAGAAACTATTGAAAACTGGTAAATGTCCAGCATTGTCCAAAAGCGTCGAATTAACTAACAAATTCACCAATTACCTACATGCATATGCTGCTTCCCCAGCACAGTCATCATAGAGTAGTAAGTAGACAAATCAAGTCGAAGTGGAATTCGCCTCCGATCCTCGGGCGCGTGCGATTAGCAAGGATGGAATTGCGTAATATTTTGCACACTCATCACCATATACGGGTGCATCGCAACATCGACAACCAGCTCTGCCGGTCCCATATTTTCTCACTTTCATTGGTTACTGTTTATAGCAAATAGGAAGCGAGAAAATATGGTACTGGCAGAGCTGATTGTCTACATAACAGGTAGCTAACTGCGCCTTCGCATTAGTTGCGATTCATCCGTTCAACGGTAAACATCGGTGTCGGTGTCATCATGTGATAACATCCAGGGCCTGCCATTCGTCGTCTGGCTCGACGTGGTGGTGTCAAGCTCATTTCCGGTCTGATGTACGAGGAAACCCGAGGTGTGCTGAAGGTGTGCCGAGAAAATGTGATCCGTGATGCCGTCACTGAATACGCAGCTGCCTACACGTCATCATCATCTTCCTAAGGCTTTAAACCTGTACTACCATCGGCCCTTTTCAGGGCCACCAACATTTTCCAAAAGAGTTAATTTTCTGAACATGTCCCAACTAAAATTCATATCAAAAGGTTCTTTTCAGGGCAGTCATACTCATACTAAAGAGTATAAACAGAGAGAACCCCACTAAAATTCCTATTCCTACACAAAATACAAGCTCCTGCTGCAGTTAACAATTATATTTATTATATCATACCATGTAGCCCTGCGTCATCTTTGCGTACAACCCCATTGGGCTGTTCCTTGTAGTTTTTTTTCCTTGATTTTGTTTTCCATCGATCTGGTTTTCCGTGCTGTGCACCAATGCTACCGACGCCAGGGAGACAGCTCCCCCTCTTGATAATAGCGTTGAAGATTCCTTTTACAAGACCGAAAATGCTCTCGATTGCGTTGAACATCGGAGAGTTAACTGTTAGAAATACTGGCAAGATTCCAAATGAGCGGTCTATTCAGCGAGACGTGTAAGGTGAGGTGACACGCTGTCACTTGTGAAGTTACATCTCCTCCGTGCAAATCAAATCGAGAGTCACTTCACCCGAGGTGACAGAATAGGCCTAGATGTTGTGTTGTTGCAATGAATCTTGGCACCATCCATAATCCAGACCGAATGGTACCCTAGATATGCTTCGACGTGCTTTCTTGTCAAAGCAAATTTCTTCACAATTAAAATTATTTTAGCCGGTTAAAGATTCCTGTGTCAAGTAGCTTAAATTGTCCTAAAATGTACCCTGTTTCGCCATCTGAATTCACTGCAATCGAAAAAAAAAATCAATGATGCAAGTTCCATCTCACTGAACTTAGTTTTTCAAAAAACTTCGCTGCACACCGCGTAAATATTTACGCTTTTTTTTACAATACTCAGGACATCATGACAGATCCTGACGCAGTACGTCTCTTTTTTATATTCGCGTTGTTTTTTTCAAAGATCGAAATGTCATGATTACCTGAGATTTGTCAATGATGTAAATATTTACACGTCATTTACCATCGAATTGCCTGGCATTGTATTTTATTTCTTAGTTTGCAAGATCCGTACAACTGAAGCAGCACTGATTCGAACATTGAATTTTTAGAATTCGATTTCGCGTATATGCGTGCGAGCTCTTCGCTTGTATCGCCCAATAAATATAACCCATATAGGCAGTGATACACAGTATTCACGCTAGCATTTGTTCGTTGAATCTGCTTCAAGATGTCTTCCTGCAACATGACCGAAAAAGCAAGCTCAAAAACAAACCCTTTTTCATCAATAGTAATGAAAACAACAACCATCAAACCTGGTTGCTATGAGTTCAAACAAGTACGGCCTTTTACCAGGAATGAGAAAGGCCGCGTGGATGTTGATGTAAATGCAGCAATAACAGGTAATGGTTCTCAACATCCCGTTACTAGTAAGGTCTTGTTCTAATAAAACATAATACATTAAAACTTTATCACACAAATGTTCATGTAAAGTTCAAAAAGCATTTTAGCAGGGATTATAAATAATTTTTAACCATTTTTGGTAAGGCCCAGTAATGGTTCGCGTTTATGTGGGAAGCAAAAGACCTTTAACTGAAATTGATTTTAACTGAAAGTCAGCAAACATTTATCTGGTAAATTTGTGCATTTCAAAATGTCAAGATGAACCAGTTGGTCACGAAAATGAACATTGATGAAGTTTAGATACATTTGCCATAAGAAATTTCCGTTAGCGAATGCCATGTGGTAGGTGAACATAATTTAATATGTTTTAGTTAGCGATCGTTGAGCGAACCATTATTATACTTTGGAACCATGTGATCTTTCACGGAATTCTTCCCATATTATAAATAAAATATTTTTTTTTTATAATCTCATAGAACATCATCCTTTTTCGTTGAAAAATAAAAAAAGTTATTCAACTTTTTGTCAGCATGATTGAATCTAAACATGATGTTGACTGGAGGAAGGTTATAACCAATTTTGGTTAGCAGTTTTACAATTGATTAGATAGCTGTTTTGCCCGATAATTATCAAGAATAAAACTTAATTTTAAATTGACCAACTTTATTTCTTTTTTTTTTTATTGTGAGTTATTTTTATTCTGATTCACCAAATATGTGCTAGAATATCACCAACAGTATATGTATCAACCATAACTACTGATTATAGACATCTCTCAAATTTGTATATATAGTAGACTTCTCCGGATGTGCTAAATTGAATACCTGCATACATTTTAACCTAGACAATCTGGAAAACTCAGGGAACAGTTTTGAATGGTTTTTGAATTGCTATCCTATGTGAGACTTTGAACGAAAAATGTATAAACAATTTATCGGAATCTCAGGGTGGATTGTTTTCAAATAGATGAAAGGTGAAATGGTCAATTTTTAAATAGTGTAGGATTATTATTATTATTAATTTATTTGATAAGGCTCAACCGAATTAAATTTACAGAGCCGAGGATTCTTGTTCACTATACAAAACATCTTAAAACTATAGTCAAAAGGTACAACACCATAAACATTTTATCTTCCGCTATCCAATAAGCCTTCTCTACCAGAACGGGAGCCGCTTCCAGTGGTTTACTTGTATGGCAGATTCGCCAACGAGGGTCAGAGCGCTTCCATTGTAGCAATGGACGCAAAACGTGGTCAGCACTCACACATTCATCACGAAACGGTTGATTTGCAAAGTCGACGACGCATCGACTGAAATAAATGCTGATGAAGAACAATGAGGAGGACCACACAATAGTTGCTGCCGAGTAAACAGACGATCGCGTGACACACATTGAGAGTGGTCTGCTTCTGTGGACAGCCGAGTGAACACTGAAGTGTAGGATTCAGCTATACTTATTTTTATATTAAAATATTGTTCTACCATACACACTGTGCAATGTGTGCAATGTTTTTTTTAATGGGAACCAAAGCTAAAGAAACTGACAAATGATACTTTGATTGCTGGAGAACCGAACCACTGCGACGAGTTTGTTGATCTGATGGCAGATTATTAATGTGGACCAACTTTGAATTTTAAATGTGTATTTCTGGCAGATCCAAACAAGCCGTCACAAAATTACTACAGTGTCTGAAAGAAAAAAAAATTCGCTTCTAAATGGAGTTGGTAATTTTTGGGATATGAGCCTTTAATTTGCAAGACATTTGAATTTTAAATCATTGATGTCGCTTCTGTTGTTTTGAAGTTGAAGCACTGTTAACTGCCAGAATGGTCTTATCCAGCTCAAAAACATTGCTAAATACAAGAAACTTCATTTTGGCCATGATCCTGAATTATCATGAAGAACTATTTTTGGACATTGGCACCACCTAGCGAGTAAAGATATACGGTATAATAATCCTACAACAGAGAAAAAGCAAATTTTGGCCAGCATTTTTCACAATATTGA